TAATTTGAGTTCGAGAATTATGCATGAGAAAAGTTTAACACTTCAATAATGTCTGTTTTAAAAACTATACTAACTAATTATGAGTTATCCTTTAATTTTGTAAAAATTATCTTAATTTTTATAATTAAAATTATTTCCATAAATCCCTTTTCATTATCAAAATTTTGGCTTCCTTTTTCTTTGATTTTTTATTATTTCATTTTTTCAAAAAATTTCCTCTATTATTTATTTATTTTTAAAATTTTATTATTCCATTTTTATTTAAAAAAAAAAAGAACATTGTTATTGAAAAACTCTTAAAATATTTCAATATGTTGATAACATTAAAAACATTTTTTTACCTAAATATTTCTTAAAAATCTCTACTCAAATTTTTTTAAAATATCATTTTCAGAGATTCGTATCCATTTTTTCATAATTGAACAATAAAGATGCAATCCAAATGATGAAACATAATATTTATTTTATTTTGTTTCATTTTATTTACTTTTTAAAATAAACTATTTGTCTTTTTTTAGAAACAAATTGTTTATTAAGTTTTCTCTTTTTCTTTTTTTTTTTTAATTTTTTCCACATCTTATACATTATTCTAATGGGAGAAAAAGGATTTTTTTTATTAAAATTTTTTTATAATTACTCCAATACGTTAGTAGTATTTAAAAAAAAAATTACTTGAAAATTTCATAGGAATCACAATGTGAATTTCTTTAAAGTCTCATCATCGAAAAAAAATCTTCATTTATTTTTAATTATTAATATTTTATAATAACAATTTACAACAACATAAAACTCACGAACAACTTTTTCCTAAAAACACATATTTTTAAATAATAAAATCATAATTACAATATTAAAACCTTAAATAAAAAATGTAATAAAAATAAATAACTATCAGAGAAAAAAAAACCCAAATGAGACTCATTTGGATCCAAAATAAAAACCAAGGGCCAAGAAGGGGAATGGGCGATAAATTAGGCTTGATCTAGATTAGGTTGGTACAAAAAGGGGTCGAGTCGGGTTAGACGGTTCGCAGGTTGCGGTAACCAGGTCAAGTATGATCTGGTCAATTCTTTTTTTCTCCCCTATTTTTATAAAAGCCAAAGTTTTTTTTTTTTTTTTTTTCATTTGCTCTCAGTTTATATAAAAAAAAAAATCTCCATTCTTGATAAAGAAAACAAAACGGCCCACCCTTGAGCCCAATTTTTGCCGATTCCACCACACACTGCCAATTGGCACCTCTTTCTCCCTAAATTTTCACAGTTAGCTCATCTTGACACTATCAAAAAAATTCATCTTTATTGATATAAATTTTTATCGGTAAAAATTAATTTTTTGTCGATAATAAATATTTATTAAATCCATAATTTATAAAATAATTAAATATTATTTATAAAAAATTACAAAATATAAATAAATTTTGATGAAAATAATTTTTTAAAAAATTATTAAATAAATTCATTATCTTTTTTTTAATCGATATAACTTTATAACACAAAATCTTTTTTAGAATAAGTGATTAAAAAAACTGGATTTTTAAAATTTTTAGTAGGGAATTTTTAAGGATAATATTGATTACATTTTTCATGAGGGTAAATTAATTAAAAAATAATATTAAAAATTATTTTTTTATCATTTAAGTTGAGAATCAATTTATTATTATTTTTTTAAAATTCTATTACCTAAGTGATTTAAGATCATTGTTACGTAAAATTTTTAAATTATTATAAAATAAGATAAGGTAATTGTTAAACACAAATAATTGTGCTTTTTAAACAAATTATCTCATATTACACACTCTTAAAGAATTATGAAAAAAATAAAATATATTTTTTATGTCTAATATGAATATTATATATCATAATTTATATTAACATGTTATATATAATATATTATTTTATTTTTATTAAATTTATATATAATTTTTATTAAAATTTTAAATGATATCGATGTCGAATCTTTCTTAATATATTATTATACTCAAATCTATTTCCACATTTCATCAATGACCCAAAATTACAGTTTAAGCCTATGGGAGGATATCAGGCTCAAATCCAACCAAAAAGCTCTGACAAGAAACTATATCCCACTTTCTTGTAAACCTTATGGAAGTAGGAACCATTTTCCTCTGGAAATATCAGGAATTAGGCAAAATTGGTAATTGCAAACAGGTAAAAAATAGTTTTAAAAAATTGCTTGAAGACGCTTTTGCAACGATTAAGTCAGTTACGGGCCACTGATTCTAATGTTGGAGCTTCAAGAACCTAGATATCTGCCAAAATTTTGGTGGACCATGGAAATACGTTGGAACAACTGTAATAAAGTGCACCATTGATGAATCAATCAGCCTGCCATCCATGGTGCCTGGCTTCGTGACAGCTACCATAAGCTTCTGTTGATGGCTTTAATGTGGATCCAGACATCACTGAGCAAATGGCATTTTTTTTTTTTAATACAGCTTTATTGAGGACAAAAATTATATATGATTTTAGTAAAAATTAAATATATATTTTATGTTTGATATATAAATATAATAATTTTTATATTTTATATATTTAACATAAAATAAACACAATATAAAATAAACAAATTACCGAATTTATCCTATAATACTTTTCTATTGTTTTCCTTTTCTTTTGCTTATCATCCACAATTACTTGATCTTATCACGTAGAACAAACCAAGAATATTGGCATCATATGACATGGGTAATATTTAAAAAGCTAATCACGATGACTGGCCCAAAATATGCCACGTCACAAGTAATAATGATCAACCACGTGTATTTTTTAGTTATTTCTTTTTTTTTTATTAAATTAAATAAAAATGGCTGGTTTCGGACAAGGAACGAAGATGTGAAACAGAAATTGTGCTTTTTAGTTGTCTGTGTCGTTGGTTAGCGTCTTTTAGTGATGGAGAGACACGTGAGGAAAAAAGTTCGCCGTTTGCCACACGCTCAGGTTAATGGAGGAAGGAGTGAAAAAAAAATTGAAAAAAAAAAATTTAGTATTTGATTTAATTAAGATTAATTTTTTATTTGATTTAAATTAAATTTGAATATTAAATATGTATATTAGATTTAGATTGAATTTTACATTAGAAAGTAAAAAATTAAAAAAAATTGAATTAAATCAAATTATATATTTATAATTTTTATATATTTTTTAAATTTTTATAAAATAAAAATAATATTTTATATTAAAATTTATTTAAATATATTAAAATAATATATAAAAATAAAATTTATAAATCAATAAATCAAATATATAAAATTCAATTCGATTTAATCAATTCAATTCGATTCAAATCGTATAAAAATTTAAATTTAAATTTAAAGTAAAATTTAAAAATTTATAATGTTATAAAATATTTAAAAAAGTTAAATTAAATTTATATCGATCCAATCATTATCACTAAATGAAGGCTTGAGTAGTTAGTTAAAAGTCTATGCGTTTATATTTATAAGCAAATTAAATGTGCATTTGGATTAAATGGCTGTTTTAGTGAAATCGAGGTTTTTTTTTTTTTTTTTTTTTTTTAACCGTGTCGATGTAATTTAGTATTGTTATTAAAAGTAATTTTGTGTTTAAAAATTATTTTTATCTAATTTTAATATTAAATAATAAAAAAATAGTTTTTGATTTAAAATTTTGATTTTACAATCTAAATTAAAAAATATTTAAAAGGTGCTTTTGTAATAAAAAATATTTTATAATAAAAAAATATTTTATTATTTTATATTTTTAATATTTATTATTTTATGTATTTATTTTTAAACATTTTAATTACTCACAATATTTTTTTACAACAATAATAAATATTTAAAAATTTTAACCATATTTATTTTTCACTTTTTAAATACAATTTTTTCAATTCAAACTTTTTTCAATCGTAATAACATTGCTAAACTAACCCTTATTATATCTAAGGTCAATTGACTTCTACATCTAAAACATTTGAGTGTTTTCGTGTAAAATTAAAATAAAAAATATTTTTTAATTATAACAATCGATTATTATTGATCAAATATCAACTGTCTCATTTTTAAACATGGTAGTCTATAATTTTTAGACAAATAATTGATTATCATAGTTAATATTATTAGTGATAATAATTTGGATTAAATCTAATTAGATTTGATTTATTTAGATAATATATAATCTTATAAATTTTTAAAATTTGATCTAAATCAAATTTTACTTATTTAGTTATGTTAATCGGTTTTAATTTTTAATTTTTTTATATATTATTTTAATATAATTTTTAATATATTTAAATAAATTTATATATAATAAATATTTTTATTTTATAAAAATTAAAAAAATATAAATTAATAAAAATATATAATTCATTTTGGTTTGATTTTTTTAAATATTTTATATTATAGTATGAAATCTAAACTTTATTTAATATATATTTAATATTTTAATTTGATCAGAATCGAATAAAAAATGATTCGAATTGAATCGAATATTATATTTTTGAATAATTTTTTTTTAATTTTTTTAATTCTAAATCAATATCATTTTAAAATTAAAATATATATTTTATTATTAATTTTAATCTTATTATTTTATTTTTATTTTTATTTATATAATAATTAATTTCATGATCATCATTATTTTTAATATTATAACAGCTAATCGCATTTATTGCAATTGCCAATAAATCTTGACAAAAGATGAGAAGTAAATGTGTAATAAGAGCAAATCCAGCAGGCAATAACAGAAAAAAAAGTTCCTCTCAATCTCAGCCCACCAACGAAAAGGTAAAATCGAAGCCACAAACTCCAGGTTCTTTCATCTATCCACGTGTCCATTTCCCCACCAGGAGATCCAAGTGTGGTCATGATGCCACGTGGCATATGGTGCTAAAAAAATCTAACCACGAACATCCTTAACTCACCCAACACGTGTCCCTTTCTTCCCCTGCGGACCCCATCCCACAGCGTGGATAATCATCACCACATCATCGCAGTGCCGTCCCCACAGCACTGCTCCATAAAAATAAAAACCAATGGCCCTTGTTGAGCCACTTCAGCTCCGCCAACCAGATGCCAATGGCGGCCCACCTTTTGATTTGGCTCTTCCGCCTTCTTTTAGAAAGGAAAATCACAAAGTCTTCGTTTTTTCTTTCCTCTATTGTTCTGCAAGATATTTTATGCGATTTTCGCGGTCCTGATCGAAAGTTGGATATCAAAAACTATAGGCGGTTTTGCTTCTCTCAACTTTTCAGATATTTCATCAGTTTTTTTGTTTAAAGATGAGGTTAATTGGATAATTCACTACAAAAATTTCAATCCTTCTTTCATTCTTTTTTTCACTGAGAAATTAGGGTTTTCGTTTTGGTGTTACCGATTAGGATTTTTGAAAATGGGTGAAGTTGGAGTGGAAGAAGACTTGCAGGTTGCGACGGCGGAGGAGAGTAAGAAGAAAAACAAGAAGAACGAGGAAGAAGATGAATCCTTGGAGGCTGCTCGGTGGGAAAGATTCTTACCTCGTATGGTTCTCAGAGTTCTTTTAGTTGAAGCCGATGACTCCACTCGTCAGATCATTGCCGCTCTTCTTCGAAAATGCAGTTACAGAGGTTTCCTCTTTACCATTAACATTTTTCTCTAGATCTACCAATTATAACTATTAGTTCAATTTCCCCTGTTTTTATTATAGCCAATTTTCAAATTTTGTTTTCAGTAGTTGCGGCTGTTCCTGATGGTTTAATGGCATGGGAGACATTAAAAGATCGACCCCATAACGTTGATCTTATACTGACTGAAGTAGAGTTGCCTTCGATTTCCGGTTTCTCGCTTCTTACTTTAGTCATGGAACATGATATATGCAAAAACATTCCTGTTATAAGTATGTAATTTCAACTAAAAATTTGTTGTTGCTCTGCTATCTTTAATTGTATCCCCGATTAGATATGAAGCTACTATGTTAAAATTTTATTAATATTTTTGGTGATTGAAACAGTGATGTCATCGCATGATTCGATTAGCATGGTTTTGAAGTGCATGTTGAAAGGTGCAGCTGATTTTCTTATCAAGCCTGTTCGGAGGAATGAGTTGAGAAACCTCTGGCAGCATGTTTGGAGAAGACACACGGTATGCTCAAAGGTTTGTTTTGTTTAGCCTTGGTTGGAATCTAGCATTTAACTTGGATTGACCTTTTTTGTGCTTGCTTTACTTTTTATCAGCTAGCTGGTGGACGTATTCCTCATAATCTACGTGCTACAGAACATAAAGTCGAAGCCACTGCTGAAAACAAAGCTGAGAGCAACCAGTCGAGTGATTATGGGTCGTCTACACAGAAAAATAAAGAAGGAAGTGATACCCAAGTGAGCATTTGCTTATATTTTGATATAGGTTTAATTAAGGGCTTGCAGATAGTTCTATTTAGGTCACTGTTTATATATGTTATAAGCCTACTGGAGTTGTAATCTAATGTTTTAGCTGTTTTGATGGTTTTGTAAAACTTAGATAACCTCCATGAGTGCACCACAGCCTAGGGAATTTATAATTGGTTAGGTGTTTGCATAATAACAAGCTAAGTATCAGTTGAGGTTTGTTCCTTTTTATATGGGACCATACTGATATCACAATCTACATGAGAAGTCTAGGATACATTATGCAATGCATATGTGAGGAAAATTTCTTTTCCAGATTATGTTAGCTTCATGAAGTTTTACATAAAGACTGCATGTTTTGCCACCTCTTGTGCAGAGCTCTTGTACACCGCCTTACTTGGAAGCTGAGAGTACATACATACAAACTATGCAGGGTCTTTCACAGATGAAGTGTACGAGTGCAAATCTTAGCAATACAAGTGGGGAGCAGCCGGGAAATGCTGTCAAAGTGAACCAAGAGTCACTTCAAAATGAGGGTCAAGCTGAAGGTATGTTATCATCTCTTTTTACCCTGTTTTACTATATTTCTAGTTTTACTTTTTCTAATTTCAGCTGAAAGAAGGAAAATCCTTTCCTCTTTATGACCAGGGATATCTGACCAGCTATTTGTTTCAGAAAATTCAAATAGGCTAGTACGGGTAAAGGAAGTTGCTTGTTGCACTGAAGCTTGTGAATCAAACGCATCGAAATTGGAAGAAAACTCTGCTTTTGTTAAAGGGATGACTCGAGACGATGCTGTTGGGCTACAAAGTGATAGAATAAATGTGAATGTTATGATTAGAGTTGGCTGCAATGATGAATTAGCTGAACCTTCCACTGGAGCGATTGACTTGATTGGTTTGTTTGATAATCGGCCAAAGGGCACCTTTGTGCTTTCTAGTTTAAGTGATGGTGCTAACAAGTTTGAATTTTCTCCACAGTTGGAGCTTTCTTTGAGAAGATCTTGTTTAAGCAGCACAAAGAACCACGGTGCCAGTGAAAGGCCTACATTAAACCATTCTGATGCTTCGGCTTTTTCATGGTAAACTTTCTGTTTCCTTTCTTTTTTTTTTACTGTATAATCAAGCTTGAGATCTACAGATGTTTAGGCAAAATGAGATGCCATTCTGTCATTTACTTGATCTTTGAATCAAAAATAGTTGCTTTATCTTCACTTTAATATTCTTTTATTCTTTTCTTCATGTTTTACTAATTTTGCCAAAGAATATCTTTGGCTATTCTTGAAAATCTATGTTTCTTGAACAACTATGTAATAGAAACATTTTCTGAAGGATTAGAGATTAGGTCAAGGTGAATCATTCTACAATGCTATTGAGGGTGATGGATGCAATATAAGAGGCGGCTACAGTAACATAGGTTAGTGAATACTGATGGAAATTTGCAATAAAGGGCCTTATTTAAAAGTATTAAGTACTTCAGCATAATATTGTTAGGATGGTATCAATTACCAAGTTGTATGTTGAGCTGAGTGATATATGCAATAATTATCGCATTTCAGTTTTAATCTACTGTCTGTATATAAACAACCTGTACCTTCTTTTTCGGCATCGGGAAATAATCCTAAATGAGGTATATATAGGTTTTCAGGGCTGACTTAACCATCTGGAGTGAGCATTCTTTAATTTGTCTATTCTAAGTATCTGACTTGTGGACCAGAATAAAATAAATTTTTTGCCATATTTTATTTCATATGAGTGACCAACTCAATTCAAGTAAAATTCTGGATCTAAAATATGCTACGGATTATCTCTTTACACAATTCATTGAAATTTGAAAGAAAGATGGCTGTGTGCTTAATGTTTGCTTCTTGAAATGTTATGTAGCTTGCAGTTTTCTGATGATTGGTAATTTCTTGTTGTAGGTATAACAATAGCAAATCATTACAGTCCATTTTCCCTACACTAGATGGCAACCGAGCTGCATTCAAGGAGGGTGACTGTAAACCCTCACAACACCTTGAAAGTAACAATGGTACTTCTCAACGTCATCTTCTTACACTAAGTGATAGTCAGGAGAATCTGCCTACTCCAGTCACGGGTCAAACTGAAAGAACATTTCCAAGCAGCCAACTTGGGCTAATTACTGTTCCAGGGGTGAAGATGGATGACATGTATGCTGGATGCAATAATGTTTTCCCAAATGTTTATTATGCGCAATCAAGTTTACCCCCTGCATGGAGTCCCAACCCAGATGGACAGCGAGACTATTCTTCCTTTCCTATGAGCACCTCAGTGCATTCAAATCTCGATGTTCACAACTCAGAACAAGGTTACCACCGGTCTGATGAAGCTACCAATTGTTCTATTGACCAAACTGTTCGAGAGCAGAACAAGCAGGAGCCTGTTGGGGAACTAAGGTGCAGTTCTCCTATTGCTGATCAGAGTGCTTGCAGTAGTTTATGTAATGGTGGTGCAGACCATGAAAAGAGCAGCGCACATGGAGGTGTTTCAAGTAGGAGCGATGCAAGTGCTAGTGCGACTTTTGCTGCAGAATCTGATAAGCACACAACCATGGAGACTTTCAATGATAGCAATTTCTTCATTCACGATGGATTCAAAGGGATGGTTTCTCATCGCTCCACCCAAAGAGAAGCCGCTTTGACAAAGTTCCGACTTAAGCGGAAAGATCGATGCTTTGAGAAAAAGGTATACTGTTACTACTTCTATTGTTATTGTAATTAGTTGAGAGTGGACACAAGCTTTGTATGCAGATAGCAGTGTACTATTTTTCACTTAGAAGTGGATTGGTATCACTTCACCACATCCACTCTCTCTCCCCAATCTTATCAAGTTGGGTCCTTCTAAGCCATCATTTATGTTTGGTGACGTATTGTTATTCTAATAGATCCTTTCTTTAGTAGATGCCTGCTCTAGCTAGTAGTACTTTTAGTTTGTGGATTGGTGTCACTTCACCACAGCCACTCTCTCTCCCCAATCTTATCAAGTTGGGTCCATCTAATCCATCATATATGTTTGGTCAAGTATTGTTACTCCAATAGATCCTTTCTTTGGTAGATGCCTGCTGTAGCTACTAGTACTTTTAACCTGTTCAGAAACTAATTTTTTAATCTGCATCAAAATCCGAACAATTGGATTCAGAGACTTATCCTGTAATGAGACAGAATCCTATTTCGCTCTGTGGTGAGAACAGAAAATCGGAAACTAACCGTTTCATAGAGGCATGTCCAATTCCTTAATGAGTAACTTCTTTGCACAGGTTCGGTATCAGAGCCGGAAAAGACTGGCAGAGCAGCGTCCCCGAGTGAAAGGACAATTTGTCCGTCAAGTGCAAAATGACACCCCAATAGGTGATGCTGATGGCCCTAAAATATGACAAACATAATCTTGCTGAAAACATGAGACCATTTAATTTTCCGTTGCAAGCATTAGGCAAGAAGTTTTTTGAAATAAAAGGTAGGATCGTGTGAGATAGCCGAAATATTTTGCAAGCTCCTTTGGTATTTTTGTGGTTGATGACTGTAATTTTTTGAATCCAACTCAACGAGGTAGTATTGTAGTTATGTAGTGAGGTAGTCTTGGTTCTTTTTTCCTGGTAGAAATACGTGTGATTGTATGTACATTGGACAATGTCTTGATTGTAGTTAGGCAGGTTAGTGGTATAATGTAATTTGCTTCAATAGGTTCAAATACGGATTTGTCATGTCTCTGACTCTTTTACGTACAACTTGGTATTTCTAGCTTAATAGCTCTTCTTGTGTAACTTTGTTTCAATAGCTTTCATTGTGCACTTTTGTATAAAATGTACGTTTCATGTCAGATACTATTTATTTGTCACAATTATGATGACATAATAAATATAAAATTTATTTTTTATTTTTATTAAATTTTGTCTTTTATCAAAATTTAAAATTGTATTGTTTTCATTTTTTTTTCACTTTCATTAGGAGTTATCATTTCGTGTCTATAAGTGATAGATTTAGTTGAACAGAGTTGAAATAATTCTAGTGATTCTATTGCTCTCTTGAGAATGATGCTTCATGAGATACGCCTAAGCCTCCTCCGATGTAAAAGAGTGGGGCAAGTGAAGACGCAAAATAGGAGAAACAAAGTGATTTTTCAAGTAAAATAGTGAAAGGGTTGGAGCGAAATACTGGACTTCTCAAATGGATGAAGAAAAGAAAATGCATGGAACTCAAACGTATAAATATACGTAAGTGGGATCGGGTTCAATGACATGATATGATATTTTAAAATACAGTAAAATATTACTATATGAAAATAATATAAAAAATAAATTTATCAAAAATACAATTTTAGCAAAAATCATAAAAAAATATATTTTATATTTTTTTATATTCATATAAATTATGATATATAATTTTTATAAATTATTATATAAATATATAAATTATTAATATTTTATATGATACAAGTAAAAAAGCTGTCAATATCCTATATAAATACAGGATTGATAGATGTGGGATACCGGGATCTGGTGAATGACAAGGCATGAGCCTATCGCGACGAAGCATGTAGAAAAGGCAGAGAACATCCACTTGTTCTTCTCGTGCAGATACATTCGGGTAGGAAACTTATCTACTTGTCCGTGCTGCTGCTGGGCATTGCCACTGTCCCTCCCAACCCATAGTGCCATTCTGCCGCTTAAAAGTTCCTTTGTTTGGGACCCGGCTTACGAATTACAGTCTCCTTTAAATTTCTTAATTTACTCTTACTTATCATTATATTTATCGGATTAAAAAAAATTACACGTTTGAATTATTTATTAGAAAATATTTTTAAGATAATAAAAATATGATTAAGTAAACTTAATCAAAGAAAAATTCATTTTAGGCTATGATATAAGTTTAAGGTAAAGTTCTTATGGTTAACAGACATGATTCTAGATTTTCAAGAGTCATATTAAAAGACTGCATGTAGGACCAGTGGATTGCCATGTTGGTAGAAATCGATTGCCTTATGTTTCCAAAAAGAGCAACTTATTGTCAAGGGTATGGAGTCGATTGTTTTGCTAAACAAAAGCTGAAATAAAATTTTTGTGCAAATAAAAATCAACAACTACCTAAAGCAATTGATCGTTATAGTTGGGAAAAGTGTGGAATTGGTTCCTAACCCTAATGGAATCGATTGTCAATAATATGGTCTTCTAGAAATTGGGAAAAGCCATAGCAGTCAACTGTCATTAAAGACGAGTCAACTACACTATAAAAGACCAAATGTAAAAATTTTTCTGCTTGAAAAGAGCCGACTGCGCTCACATAGGATGCACTCGGATATATAAAAGAAGTTGACTTCGTTATGGAAGAGTCAATTGTCTACTTCTAAAAGTATTTTAAAAATTGAAAATAGATAGTCGATTGCTTTATGGAGGCAATCTAACTGTTTTATATAAAAAGTAATAATTTCAAAAAATGTGAAAAGATATTTTTTTATGAAAAATTTAATTATTTAAATGAATTAATATATTTGTAATTTTTTAAAGAGACATTTAAATAAAAAAGAAGTGATTTTTTATTAAAAAAATATAATTAAAAACTCACAAACTTAGATTAAATCTAAAATCTAATTGAATTCAGAATTACTTTCATCTTTCTCCTATATTTTTCTCGATCAAAGGCAAGTAGTTTTAGCATTGTTTGCTAAAAAAACCTTGCAAAGATAAGATATTTTTTATCCTAATAAAGTGTGTTTAATGGTTTATCATACTAGTGTAAAATATCGACGAGTAAGGTTTTATTGTATCTCGGAAACGTTTTGATACAATCTTTTTTGCATGCTATAGCTAATTGTGGCAAAATAAACCTTAAGAAAAGTGATATCACACAAGTCATCATGTTCAGTCTGAAGGTTCAGATTTGCTCAAATCCAATAATTGTATAAGAAGGCTATAAGAAAATCTCAAGTCACAAAGACAATCATTGTCCTCAAGTTCTATCTTTTAGCCTCTACGACGTTATTATTACCAACAATCTTAAGGTTTAATTTCAAGTAAGATGGACAAATTCAAATCAATTAAAAAGATGACAACCAACTTCCAAATTTTGAAACGGATTAAAGGAGGTAACTTCTTAAGATGACAACAAAATATGCATATCCTCTTCAATACATTAAAGATTGTGTATCTTGCACTAAAACTTGCAAGAGGCAAAAATGAGAGAATAATGATTACACATGCATAGGATTTATGTTAAATGGTATGTCTGATTCTCTTTTTGATGCCTATATTACAGACATTTCGACAAAAGAAGTATGAGATAAATTGGATGTAAGGTATATTTAAGAAATTTTTAGAGTCAGATCAAATCAAATTTAGTTTGATTTTTCGAATAATGCAAAAAAATTATAAATTTTTATAATTCGATCTAAATTCGAATCGAATTATCATGTAAATCGAATTTTATCGGTTTGATTTGGATCATTTGTTTTTAAATTTTAATTTTTTATATATTATTTTAATATAATTTTTAATATATTTAAATAGATTTATGTATAAAATAATTATTTTAATTTTATAAAAATTTAAAAAATATATAAAAATTAATAAATATATAATTTGATTTGGTTTATTTTTTAGGTTTTTTATTTTTTGATTCAAAATCTGATTCGAACCATATATATATATATATATATTTAATACTAAAATTTAATCCGAAGCAAATAAAAAAGATTAATTTGAATAGAACTGAACACTACAATTTTAAATAAATTTTTTATTTTTTTCCTTTTTTTTTCTCTCCCCTACTCCTATGTGTTTTTCGTGAACAAGCATTCTATACCAACATCAGCAGCACTCAGAAACTTGCACTTTTAGGGAACTTGTAACAGACCATTCAGGATAATGGTACAAGTAAGGCTTCAAACTTGGAGAATTCTTGCACTTCACATGAGAAATCAGCTCAAGGCCTGGAAAAAGATGATTTGGATGGTCCATCACGTACATATAAGATGCAAGGCGCTCAAAATTGTGCTCTGCATGATGCTGTGCATGTCCTAGATGGAAGCCTGGGAACATTTGTTCAAAATCCTCCCCTGGATATTCCATTTCAGGATTCTGTATTTCACCCTATGGGCAATGTTCAAGGACAACATAACCTGTTCGCAAATCCAGCTGCATCTGCTACCACTGAACATCAGAATAATGCACCAAGATCTATTCATTAGGCATTTCCAGCTTTTCATACTCTCTTTATGCATGTACGCCCCAATCAAGAGAACTATCGATCATTTCTGCATGTGATCCTCCATACTTTCCAGTCTAATTGTATCTACTTTGTTACAGAATCCAGCAGCTCATGCTGCAGCAAGCTTTTCGATTACATTTTGGCCATATGCAAATGTTGAAAGTTCTGCTGATTCTCCGACATGCAGCCAAGGAGGTTTTCCATCTAGACAAATGAACCCTGCTCCAACTATGGCTGCGATTGCTGCTGCAACTATAGCTCCTGCCACTGCATGGTGGGCTGCCCATGGACTGCTTCCTGTTTGTGCTCCTCTTCACACTGGCTTTACCTGTGCTCCTGCATCAACTGTTTCAGTTACTCCAATGGAGAATGGTCAAGCTCCAGCTGCAAAGACAGAAAGAAAAGAAAATAATTATCATGATCTACCCATGCAGGATCAACAGCTAGATCCCGAATACTCCGAAGCTTTGCAAGGTCAAAATTCAGCATCTAAATCACCTACTTCATTATCATCAGACCGTGAAGAGAGTGGAGATGCAAAAGCAAATAGTGGTGTGAAAGCTGTCATTGGTAACTGAGCCTCAAGAAGCAAATAAAACAAAGAACAGAAAACAAGTTGATCGGTCCTCATGTGGTTCCAATACACCTTCGAGTAGTGAGGTGGAGAGAGATATGTTAGAAAAACATGAGAAAGACAAGGAAGATTCAAAAGGAGCTGATGCAAATCATCCACAAGTTGAGTGCAGTAATCTTCATGGTAGAAGCAGTAGCAAACTGAGTGATTCTTGGAAGGAGGTATCTGAAGAGGTGAATTGATGTCTCTGTTTTTCCATGTAGCTTTAACTTAGTTATTATTCCAACTGTACTTTGATGTTGTCTCATTTGTGGCTCCACCACTTTATTTGTTAGTATTGTGACGTTGTTTAACTGATATTAATTTTCATGTAAAATACTATATGAATATATGAATTTTTAATATTTTACATAATACAAATACACAAATTACTAGAGAAAGCTTCAACTTGACAAAAGAAAATTCTGTTTGTTGCAAGTAATCTCTAATTTTCCCCCATATCTCATTTCCTTTCATGTTTGATTCCAATACTTGCAGCTCACGAGATTGTTCGTGTAGGGGTGTGTGTGTGTGTACACAATGTCTACATTGACTTATTCAATTTCTTCAACCATACCCTGCTGTAAAAAACTCCATTGAAATAGACTTAGATAAGAAGCATTAAGTACTGAACGGCCCTTGATTTGGCCTCTTTTCTCCAAATATATGCCTTTTGTCTTTATGATTCTTCTCTCTTTTACTTAGTATCATAATCCTGCAACAAGCTGAAACCTTTTTGATGCAGTGAAAATCCAAATTAAAGACAAAGACAGATAATATTTTTAAGGGTATAATCGAGTTGAATTGAATAGATATATCGTAAAAACTTACAAGTAAAATTTTGACGATATAATCAAACTTGAACGACTTACAAATAATTTTACTAATTTACATCCCTACTTTTACCTTAGGTATCAACTCAAATTTTATTTTAATTGACTTTTTCAGCCAATACCCAGAATTTCATTGTCAAAAGCCAAACGGTGCAGTAATTGTTGAAAGTAGGTGAGTTAAATTTTTTCACATAGTAAAAAATGCCAGC